AAAGCGAAATTTGAATATCAGACACTTAGGTTCAAGATTATGCCAAAATTTCATGTTTTCCGTCCCGTTTTTGCTCATTTCTCGGAGGCAAAATGATCAAAAACGCTCATTTGTACGTCATTCTAGGCAGAAATAAATGGCCTTTTTAGAAAGTGAACCATCGATAAGGAAATGTTGGCAGTTTTTTCAAAAAATGCTTGAATTCAAGAAGTTTTAGATTTGCGTGGTCTTTTTTTGAGTTGCAAAATCCACTTGAACAGGACGCTGCTTTTTTCGAAGTTTCTCAAGAACCATTCAAGCCACAGAATTCGTTTTGGCATCGTTGGATAGAGAATTGAATGGGGGGTGATCGGGGGGTCACCCCCATGACCCCCCTGGATCCGCCCTTGCTTCAGAGTTGGTTAAATATAGATACAGATAAATTTCCAGTACTACGCTGTTTCAATTTAAGTGCCTTTTAGTTCTTAATAGCATTTATTTACCCCAAAAGACGGTAAGCATATCGGGTGGAGGCAAACAGGTAAATGAATAAACTGGAACTTCCAGTCGGATCGGCTTAAAACTGCGAAAAATCAGAATTTCAGGGGATTCAAATCATCAATCTTTCAAAAAATTCTTTGAGTGCTCGGGTGGGAGTTTCATCCACCTATAGAATGTGAAAGTTTCCCGTTGCGGTTTGGTCTTTGTTAGAAATTATGAATTTTTAAAGTTGAGCTCAGAGTTCGGTAAAACCCTCGGTTTTACATCGACATCTGCAAAGCGCGCTTAAATCAGAATTTCATTCGATTCGAGTGAAATTCTCAGCAGATTGAGCCTCTAGAATCCTCAAGGACTGCAAAAGGTTCAAGTTGCTGTTTGCTCTGGTTTAGAAACCAGGAACGTTGAAAGCTGACGCTGCACTTGGAAAAAAGCACCCATTTTTGCATGGTTTTACAACGCTAAACTGGTTAGGAATATATTTAAAGAAAAATTGTTTTTTGGCATTCTGTACCGTAATCTATTAACTTTCGGCGCAGACAATTTTGCCCCATTCGCTGAGTTTCTACCCCGTATAAAGCACCTCTAATATTATTATATATGTATATTATTATACCTAGAGGCCGGTAAGTTAAATGGTACGAGCGTTAAGTCCTTTTCCTCTCTTTCGGGCACCGGTACTCCAATTACGCGATCAATCATCAACAAACAACCGCCACTTAACAGCAAGATATTTCGAACAATTCCTGCACTTAACATTTTGAATTTTCCAACCGGTCGGCTTCTAAGAATGCTGAAGACTATGAACTTGGCTGTCGAAGAAAGCTCTTTCTTCTTTCTTCTACCCTTTTTGTTAGTTGGTGGGACACACGCACTAATTATATTCTGTTTGTTTATTGGGGAGTTTTGGGAAGTCATTTCTTCTTTCAAGCGATATGCGGCTCCAATATTTTGCAGTTTGATTTTTCATAGGATCAATGTATTCAAGCGCAATATTTTTGCAGCTTGATGATTGTATTTCCGGTAAAAATATACCGTTGGTTTGCTAAAACTGCCTTGCGTGCCATCCAAACCCATAATTTGAAGATTGTGTTCGTTTCTCATCATGGTAGGTAATAAAAACGGGGCTTTTTTGGCCTGATCTTAACGACTTTGGCAAATAGCATCTAATAGGTTTAACCCGGTTTTGGCAGAGAAATTGTTTAAACAAAATTGAGTATTTTCGACTCATGGGTGTTCATGGCAAACGAATTTCTAAGCAAAGTTCTCATTGTTGAGTGGACTAAAATCACGCTAAAAGAAGCAAATAATATGTGGGATTGCGCGAAGTAATTGCACTTTATACGTCGAATTGTTGGCAATTTTACAAAACTTCTTTGATGCGACACTGTTCTTCGATACACCTACCAGTTCGAATTAATCAGGTTTGGGGCCGGAATATTCATTACTTTTAACGATCTTGTCCTGGTAAGGTCTGGTTTTTATTCGTGCCATCGATTTTAAGCATTACTAGCAACGGTGCACTTTCCAAATGCTTTAACTTGTTAAACCATTATTTTTCCAACTTTCTTCCCTTCACAATCTTACTTGTTATGTACCAGTTACTCACCTACAGCAATTACTCTTGAGTATTCGGACTTTCCTTTAAGCGCCTTAAGAAAATAACGTGAGGAATCCCATGGTTTTCCTTCTGAGCCTGATTGCTTCTGATTGGGCCCCCCGCTTCGTACACGACATTTGGCAATCCGTGGTGATTGGTGGGCGTTCTTCTAGAGTTTTCCTCGCTAACGTCGCTCTGGCCCACTGGCTGCTTCCTCAGGTGAACTACATTGGTTGATGCTTCATTATGGATATACCCTTCTGAGCGTATTTCCTGCGTCTTTTTTAGCATTTCTGAGCAAATCTTGCCTACTCCTGCTCCCACTTTGAAAGCTTCTTTGCCCTTAACAAGGCTTCTTCGAAGCCGCACCACCGCTGGAAGGCCCACATCAGTTTCAGAAGTTGCTGCCATCTCTTTCTCGATAAAGTTCGGAGTTTGCAAAGGCTCTTTTTCCAGTGATTTGCAATAGCTGGCGAAGATGCTCTTCAGATCGCTGGACATGGGAATGTTGTCTTCTCCTTGAGTGCTTTTGATGATTTCGAATAAAGTTTCAGTGTTGTTGGCGATTTCTTCGTAGTCAAAGTCGTCGTTTGAAATGGGTTTTGGTGTTGCAGGCGGTTTGGTCGATGTTGCCAAGCCAAAAGCGATTTGATCCTCTGGAGACAACGTGAAGACGGGCTTATCGTAAGTGGGCGGTCTGCTCAAATCCTCGTAAACGTAGTTGGATTGGGAGGCTTGAATCTTCTGCACGAAAAATTCCACTACTGCTGGAAATTTGCTCACAGTTTCAGCTGGGATGAAGATTTTGTTGCTGTAGTTCTTCCCAGTAGTTGAACCCCAGGACGAGTTGCTTCCAACATTGAAAGGAAATAGGCTGGGAAGTCGCCAAGGTTTACCTGTGGTGGTTTCTTTCTGCTGTTTTTGTTCGAATAGTGGCCAATTTGTCGCGGTGAACTGTGGCAGATGGAATGAGCCATTGGGGCGATTCAGGGAGAAGGGAAACAGCTTTGTTAAAGGAGAAGTTTTTAAACCCCAAGAGTTACTTGCAGGGGCATCGCGATTCACTTCACTAGTGCAAGCAACCAAACCCGCACAACTCCACAGTGCAAAGCACACAAAAGCACTTTTCAGCATGATCTACATTAAGAAAGAGGCAAATCGCAACTGAATCCTGAAACGAAAATCGACCGCGCGTTGCTCGAATAAGATTCTTGGCGATAAGCGTGTTTTCAGAAGTGTGTTAACAGGTTGAGTGAAACGCACGCTCTCAAAGTTTCACTTTTAAGGCAAGATCAGGGAAAGAAAGTAAAACGCTAATCGAAAATAGCAGCGTTTCATCCGCTGATTATTTAGTTACTGGTAGATAGACAAGCAAATGGCAATTTATCAACATTTTTCCCATTGTCAAATTGCTGTTTAACACACATTTCATTTCCCAGTCATGGAGAACCACAATATGCAGGCAAATTTCCCGTTGGCTTCCAAAAGGGTTCACTATGCGGAAAGTGCACAGGATCAGGAAGAAATCCCGTTCAAAGGTAACCAACCAACCAACGCTCTGTGCCAGAGAAAACTGTTCGAAAAAACAAACATTCCACCTAGACAACTACTCGGATTGCTCAGAAGTGTCCAGATCCTCAATAAAATATTCTGGGGACTGTAACAGCGAAATATCAGTAGCCACCAGCATTTTGGACACGGAGGAAAATGACGTGAACATGTTGCGGAACAAGCTGGAAGAATGCGAAGCCAAACTGAAACTTTCGGAGAATGAAAACAGGCAGATAATTGACGAGTGAACGTTTGACCAAACCAACCCCAAGCTGCTCCTTTCAACCGCTTCTGTTGCATGTTGCAGCTTGTTGAACGAAAGGACAAGATCCTCAAAACTGGAAAAGAAGCTCCAGTTTGTCAGGGACAATCAGGACGTTTTCATGAGACTGAAGGAGGCCTACATCAACATGAAGTACAACGAGGCGGCAGGCAGGAAAATGATCGAAATACGCGAAAAAAGCGTGCAGACTTGGGATGGAATCCTTTGCAATTCCTGCATAGAAACTGAGGAGCTGCGAAGGCAAATCGATGTAACGTTTCAGAAGTACAAGGAGTTGTTTGTGGTGTCTCCGTAAGAGTTTCCCTCCCGCCCACTTTGGGCATACATATTTTTTAGTTTAGTAAAGACTAGAACGCGTGTTTAAAACTCTTGTTGTAGAGGAGAAATGGAACATCTAATCAACACAGTTAAGTACCTAAAGGACCTGATTGATCGCAGAGAAGAAACGTGGGAGAACAACATGAACAGAGAGCTTAAGCTTCAGGTGGCTGTTTAAGTTTAAGGGTTGCGGTTATTGGAAAATTCGTTCTAGACTCACGTTGCTGTGCTGGAAAATGAAAACGCCAATTTAAGAGCGGTCATTTCAAAGAAAGGCTCCGAGGTACCTAAAGAGGTGCTCGACGACATAAAATTGGAGCAGAAGTTGCTGGAAGAGAGGAAAGCGGGCGATATGCAGAAGTTTGTGGAGTCGATCACGAAGGATCTGGATAAGCTGAAGAAGATTATCATTAAATACGAGAAGAAGTTTAGGTGCCCATTCATCCCTTGGCGAAAGGATTTTGCCTCCTAAACAGTTTGTTATAGGGAATTCAAGGAATACTATCCAGGCAAATACACCTCGCCTTTAAACGAGAAGGAGGCGAAATTAGTGCAGCAAATCATTGCCAAGTGGGGGGTTTCAGCTACTTTACTTAATACAAGGGCTCATGAGGACACTTTTTAGACACAATGCCAAAGTGCAGGGAAAAGACCATACAAGAAGCCGCAGTCCGTCCATAGCAGGCACAGAACCGCTTTATAGGCCATCGAGTACTTCAGCTAGAAGTTACTCATTCGATAGACCCCAAACTCCCAAATCCTGCACCATGCGCACAGATTCCGCCATTCTGATGATGGACTATCTGTTTGAGTGAAAAACGTCCGTATGTTGAAAATAATGCACCCAACTGTCCAGAAATAATTGCAATCTAGAAAACTTGTGTATTTATTGCATTAGCTATGGGAATTTCGAAGAAAACACCAGATCTTTTGAGAGACTCTTGTTAAAACCAGATGAGGAAAACAAGCTTGGGCATTTATTGCTGTTCAGGATCAGCGGCGTAGTGCTTGATAAATCGAGCAGAAGGATCGGTGATTCCTTCCACCCATCGCGGCATCCAGAAATATGGCAAGAAGCTCTCCGCTTGGTTTGGATAACTCTTCTCGAACACTTCTCTGTAGTAAAGCGATTCCTTTGTTGTCGGCGTGCAATGGGGGTACTTTTTCCTGGCTTTGTCCGCGTCGAATGGTTCAGGCATCCGTTTGTCTGTGATCTCCTGCAGGATCACAAATAGGGACTTTTTCTTCGACGCCACTCCGTCACTGAAAAAGTTTCATCTGGGTTGAGTTTTGCGGGTTTAAGCGCAATGTTAGTACCTGAAGGCTTCCTTGTGCCGCCACAGAATATCATGGGGTAGAAGATCGCTACCACTGAACGCCGATCTGAGTAGAAATTTTTCCACTCCGTCCTTCGGTTGCTTGAGTTCAGGATCCACATTTAGGTAGTAGTTTGTGAACTGGAGGTCCAGGAACGGCACCCTAAGTTCTAAACTGAAACCACCAGGTTATTGGGCTTGGCTTTTTTGGGGGTCCAGATATTTTAACCACGTATTTTAGGTCTGAAAATAACCATAGTTTGCTATATAAGCGATAGCTCAGAAATGCTTCGTTACGCCTTAAAACTTGAACAAACTCGCTATGGAAAAACTGTCCCAAATCCTCATGAAATTGCGTGTTTGATACCTGGATGGTTAAAGCGCTGATTTTGGCCGCAAAATTCTCCTTGTGAAACAACACACCAGTTGCTTTTACCAGCCCTGGAAGGTTTATTTATTAGGAATAAACACTTACTTATTTATTGACATCCCTTCTCTCCTGTCAATCAAAGTTCGGACCAATCAAATTTCTCAACAAAGGAACTCAATTGTCGTCGAGTTTTAGGGTAAAGTCGTGCGCTCGTTTTGCTCCAGAAAATCGATAAAATAGACCGGAAAAAATGCGCCCTCGAGTGAAAAATTGCTCAATTCCGAAAGAAAAACTAGTGAACTCGCTTTCGTTGTAATGTTCTTCATCGCAGCGGTGTTTTTAAGTGGAAAAATCTCAATTGATCGTGCGGATTTTTCCGACGTTTACGGGAAAGACAGCCATCTTTCAATTCAAGAACGCGCATTACAGTTTGCAGTGGTGCCAACCGAGTAAAACACAAGGCTGTTCAAATGGTTTGTTTACTTTTGAAAACTGTTTGACGTATTTGAGCCATTGAGGATTGCTGCATATGGAAATGATCAGAAAACCATTTGGTAAGTTTATGAGTAGATGACCGTTATGGGAAACTAGTGAATTTGAATGAGTGAAAAGTGGTCGAAAGCAGCATTTTCCCAAAAACACCACTTGCAGTAGTTAACTGTCGTGTAAGAAAATTCGACCCTCGCAGGCTTTTGCGCTTGCGATTAACAATTAGCTCATAGAAAATCACTTTACAATCAACTTTTCTTCCTACGCCACTATAACACAATGAAAAAATACATTTGTGTCCAAATGTACTCATCTACGTGTGTGAAAAGTGCATTTAAAAAATGCCAAATGGTTTTCGTTAAAACGCATGGAGTTATTTCAACGAAATTTTCAAGATGATTAAAGAGGTCAATAGCTAGAAAAGGCGCATGTTTTGCAATAACAGTACTTTGATAATTCGCTGCCAGTGGCGTGCATTCGCTACTTTTTTTAATTGGTCCAATTATCTTTAAAATTCCTTGTTGTAATACAAATACAAATATCTCTTCCTGCCAAAAACATCTCCATGCGTTTCGAAGAAATCATTTTGCATTTTTCTAAACCTACTTCAACAAGGCATTTTTGGGCTATCGTTTGCATAGCAAACTAGGGTTATTTTGAACCTAGAATATGGGCATGAAAAACCTTGTATAGTTGTACCTTTGAGCGGCCATAGTTCTGTCAGCCCTCAACCCATCGAACATGTAAATTTGCTTTAGGAGCCTGATGCTGTCCTCATGAGCGTCTTGTGCTGTTGGGGCGTCTCGGAAATAAATATACCTGTAGCAGATAAACAGCGGGATTTTCGAGACTTTTTGCTGTTTCTTGGACTCACCCTTGCGCCACCTCATCCGCCCCTTCTCCACTAAACACCACAGTACTATCCGTGTTGTCTAAGATATATTTGGAGATCAAATACATTCCTATCGACGCCCTTATTGTGGTAATATCGGGCGTCTCCAGAGTGTAAATCACATCATCTAACACTCTGGCCACATCTTCTTCCGAGAACACTATTTCATGATGGTCAGTTTGCAGAAACTTGGCGACCTGCTGCGCCTTTTCCAAGTCCGGACTTCCCTCCATTCCAATGGCGAAAGTCTGCAAAGGAACTTCATCCATTGAACTGTCGGTGTGTAAAGCTTCCGAAGGACCCCACCTGTATTTTATAGGGCAGGTTGATTTTTTTTGCCTCTTGGACCACAAGGGCTGCCACAAGAGAGGAATCAAGTCCCCCCGACAGCAAACAGCCGATTCGTCGATCTGCCATTAGTCGCTTTTTCACAGCCATTGTAAGCAATTTCCTTATATTGGCTTCATGGGCTTGGGAAGTCAGATCTATGGCAAGATTTTCCATTTAGTATCTTTGCACAGGAAAGAGTAAGCAAGGGCGGATCCAGGGGGGGGTCATGACTCCCCCCATTCAATTTTCTATCTAACGATGCCAAAACGAATTATCTGGCTCGAATGGTTCTTGAGAAACTTCGAAAAAAGCAGCGTCATGTTCAAGGGGATTTTGCAACTCAATAAAAACCGCGCAAATCTAAAACTTCTTCAATTCAAGCATTTTTTGAGAAAACTGCCAACATTTTCCCATCCATAGTTCACTTTTTAAAAAGGCCATTTATTTCTGTCCAGAATGATGTACACATGAGCGTTCGTGCTCATTTTGCCTCGGAGATATGAGAAAAACGGGACGGAAAACATGAAATTTTGGCATAATCTTGCACCGAAGTATCTGATATTCAAATTTCGCTTTCTGTGTTAAAACTACTAGAATTTCCTCACTAACGTTGTTACGACTGAAGCGAGTTTTCAATTCTCTATTCGTAAGTATTCAATTCTCGAGTAAGATTCGAATTTCCTGCTTACCTTCCCATGGTACAAAGGTGGTAAACGATGGTTTATCCCCCGGGTTGAAATACCGTTCACTCCTCACTAGTTTAGCGGTGCCGTTCGGATGCAGGTCGTATTCCTCAAATGTGCCTGGTGGAAATGGTTCCAGTTTTTTCTTGTACCCATTCAGATCTGAACTAATGGCGACAAGCCCTTTAAAAAAAGCTCACTTAGAAGGGCGTTTTTCTTTTAAGGAACTAACGGTGTTTTACCTTTCGCTTCTGAACATACACCCAGAATACCATTATCGCTGATGATCCTGAAGAGCGGTCGCACTCCAAACGGATCTCGCCCCAGGAAGACTTTTCTTTTGGGTATGTCGACGATACAAAAAGCGAAAACTCCATCTAAACTTCGGACGCATTTCTCAATGCCGAATTTTTCGTACAGATGGAAAATGCATTCGACGTCACTGAACGTTTCGTAGTTGAATTCAAACTCTTTCTTCAGCTGCCAGGATGCGAATATGGTTTTATTATGAACGCAGTTCAATGAAGTCAATTTTACCTCTTTGCAGTTGTACAGTTCGCCGTTGCAAAGCAAAGCTCGATGGGGAAATTGGTGCAGTCGCATGGGCTGCATTCCATAGGTGCAGTCGACAATTGTCAGTCTGTGAAAGCCGATGCAGCAGTTCTAAAATTGCCATTAACCGCAATAGATAATTGCCTAATAGTTGAAAACGATAAATGTGAACAAGATCTGCTTTTGGTCATTTGGTTACGCACTTAATTGCCCATTAACTGGGAAAATCTTCGAGGACTCGAGATGAATGTTGATTCGTTTTCCCAAAAATGGCTTCATTGTCCGCCTTATCGTTAAGCAAAATTGGTTAATTGGATGGTTTCACTTGAACCGATGTGAGTTTAAAGTGATTAAAAATGTCCAGTATTTATTCTTTTGGTGAATGGTAATCACTAGACTTTCCTTATCTATGGCCAACTTGCAACGTTCAATTTTGCGCAAGATATTTTTGCATTTGTTAAACGAGTGTACACAATACTGATAAGAGAATACTTGAATGAGTCAATGAAAACGTGAAAATCTACCTTCAGTTGCTTATCAAACTCAACTCGCCAAGCGTCTGGTCCTCTGTGTTCAATTTTATTGAAGGCTCTTGCACAGATTGAATGCATATTGGATTCGGTTCCAAAAATTGCCCAAATTCCACACATGGTTTCCTATCTGGAAAACCGACAAAAGTGACTTAATTTCTATGGGATGTCAAATGAAAATTGCAAATAATTATTTCAAAAAATTTGCAATGTAAAAAATTGAAAAAAATGTCAAGAAAAATTCGGCTTTTTAATACTAAGAAAAAATCAGCCGCATGACTGAAAAGTCAAACCAATTCTTGAGTCGCCTTTTATTAATTAAAATGGTTCATGCATTCCATAACGTAGCCCGCATCGGTTATCTCACTCGCACACGTTTGAGTCCATATAGACCCAGGATAACCTGGGCGTTGATGCGTTCGAATTTGCCACCCTTACGACTTAAAATATTTTAATATTGCGACAGAGTTCGTAAGAATAAAAATTTTGCTACCAAAACTAGGCAAACTCTGATCAATGTTAGTTGGAAAAACTATTGAAGAACCCAATATTTTCTGATTATTAGACTGTCGTCGATGGATATTTACTAGTGACGTTTCGCCAGCACACATGGCTAGCATCTTCAGAGTTGCATTCGCTTTGCGCCACATTTTGAATCAATAAAAATTGCTGCACTCTCAGATCCATACAATACATTGAAATTACATATATATAAAAAAATCTGAACTAATCAATAACCTCACCCTAGTGTTAGTCGGTGTTAGATATGCTCGAGTGACTTACCTGTTTGTTTAAATAAATAAATAGGTACAAAACAAAACTGGCACGTTAACAGCTTTTAAGTAGGTTTTGTAGAATTCTGATGCAACATTCCACGCTCTGCAAGCAGGCACCCAAACGGGAGCTCAACCGCGTGGCGCATCGAATCGCGTTGTTGCCAAGTTTATTATCAATAAATCTTTAAACAATTTTCTGACAAGACCACTGCCGTAGAAATCGGTAGAAGTGTCAATAGATCGGGGGCATTTTTGCGCTAATTGAGATCATCTGGCATCCTACTTGGGCAACTAAGTAAGTTTTGCTAATTGAGTCCGACACTTTTTGGTCAGTTATTTAGCAGAAAATTATTTTTTTGTGTCAAACTTGCGCTCTGTTGATAAGGTTTGAAAGCTCAACATTTTTGCATAGTTAGATAAGTTTTTTTTTATCAATGTAGCCAATGAAAGCCAGATTTTAGTGCCGGCTTTTTGGAGTAAATTAAACTTCGAAATTTTGAACCGCGCTTGAACTAAGCTCATGTTATTGCAATTTGCTTTCGCTTTAAACCAATACTAGAATAATTTCAATAGACTTGATTGCGTTTATTACAACAAAATACCTAACTAAAAAACGCCAAAGTCTTTAAGAGCTTCCACTAGTAGGGCCAACCCGCCCATTATCGCCATCACCCCACTTAGAATGATATTGGTTGAGGAATGCTGACCAATCACACTAACAGCAATTCCAGCTGGAATGTGAAAAATGAGTAAGATACTCCTCAAAAAATTCTACCTCAAAGCCGCTTACTACTGAGAAGGAGTATGGTTCCAATCAGGGCCAACCATCCAAGAAATTTCTGTTCTTGTTCTTCCCCTTTGACCAGTTGCAACGACAACATTATTAGGAGGAGGATAACAAAAGCGCTTCCTGCAATGCACAGGGCGTCGCTGGCTTCAAATAAATCCGCTTCATGAAATGTCATCAGGAAATCGAATTCACCCGAAGAAATCATGAACATCGCAAGCCCCACGATGAGAAGAATCTACAACAACTGTTCATAGTAACATGCTTTATGTAGATAAAATCACCGACCAATTCTAGTAGTCTGAACACAAAGTCCAAGTTTATATCCACTCCTTTGCCTTTTCCCATTGCTGTTTTCGGTGAAGCGTCCAGAAGACAGTCCGAAGAAAGCTTCTATTCTATGGTTTGGATTGAATTTTTTTAAATGAAGTTGACTTGGATTATTGACGTTTTTTTTCCAAATCAAAAGGTGTTAATTCAGTGTTTACTAACAAGTTCCACTATTAGAATCCTGAAAATTCCAGAAAAAAATGAATGTTCAGTCTTATTTTTCCTTATTTCATTGCAATTCGCCCATATTATTTTAATATAGTCAGTTTTTTTGCTGTGAATTTCAGTTCCAAATATTTTTATGAAAAATTCAAATACGTTTCTGCTCGAGACGCTTTTGGCATCGTTGCTAGCGTGCAAAGCGAAATCTGCCGTAAATTATCTGAATGTTCTCAAAAATTGATCAGGTTGATGGTTTTCTACGAGATGGCAGTCTATGTTCTAGGGAAAATATAAGTTTTAAAAAAATGAAACGTTAATGTGAATGCCAGCGATGTTGAGCACGCTGTAAATGTAAATAGTCTATAGATAGATAAAAAGGACAGATAGGTAGATAAACAGCCTCGATATTTTTATTGTTGTTCAATCAATCGATGTCTTCTTGTTTTTATTGTTTGGATTGAGAAGTGTTAATTCATTAATTTGCCAATTTTCAAAAAGTACTAACAACAACCTAGTAGGGACTGACTATATTTTTTAATTTTTTTTATTATAATATTTAAAAACTGATAATTAGAAGCATCCTAAATTATGCAGTCCATCAGCGAGCATTACACATCCGGCAGCTAAAACCAAAATGCCTCCCACTAGTTGATTGGTGCTTAACATTGCCGAATAGTCGCTTTTGAACAGAATCACTCCTATGCCAGCTGGAAAATTTACAAATCAAGTCAGGAAGAAATCTTCTAACGTACAGAGAAACTATTGAGTTTTTCTCCACGGTCTAAAAACCTCGGAAAAACTCAACCGTTTCAAGTAATGTGCGTGAAAGTGTTTGGATAGATAAAAAAATTCATTGAGTGAAACTGCAATGAACGTACTAGAAAAAGCTTTTGCTACAACATGAAAAGTTCAAATTAATATGCGAACCTCCAACCGTCCATAGAAAGCCGCAAATTAAAACTATGGCCGTAAGTTTCTGGTCTACTTCAGCCTTGGCGATTGACCATATGAAGAAGTAGAGCAAAATGATCAGATATGCACCAGATGAATAAATCACTGAGTTCGATACCAGTTGGCTTCGGTTTGATCTGGAACCGCTCAGCTCAGCCACATTGAGACCAACGGCAACCGCACAAAACACCTACAGGAAAACGAATTAATTTTTGGAAAATGAGTTTTCACATATACAGGGTGGCCCGCACATGGTCAAAGCGCCTACGTCAGGTTTTGGAGAATGGTAGGATGGATTTTAATGAAGCTCGCTGTGAATTTATTTCTATGAGACTTAGATTTTAATGAAGCCATCAAGATCATACGCTTTGGGCAAGTGAGGAATTCTCAAGTGTCTTGGTATGAAAAGTTCCGGTAGTGTTCGGGCTGATGCATTAATCATGTAGTACTTTCAGACAGGGGCGGATCCAGCTTTAAAGTTATGTAGAATGGGGTTATGTAGAAAAAATACAGTCTTCTGTTATCTATGAAATTATAAAAACGATCGTCGTTTTGTGCAAGGGTGGCGCAAGATTATTGCAAAATTTCATGTTTTTCGTCCCGTTTTGCATGTTTCTCGGTAGCAAAATGAGCAAGAACGATCGTTTTTACATAATTCCAAAGATAACTAAATGGCCTTTATTCGAAGTTTCTCAAGAAACATTCGAGCCACAGAATTCGTTTTGGCATCGTTGGATAGAAAATTGAAAAGTCGATTCAACGTCGTCGTAACAACGTGAGCGAGGAAATTCGAATAGTTTTGACCCAGAAAGCGAAATTTGAATATCAAACACTTAGGTTCAAGATTTTGCCAAAATTTCATGTTTTCCGGCCCGTTTTTGCTCATCTCTCGGAGGCAAAATGAGCAAGAACGCTCATTTGTACATCATACTAGACAGAAATATATGGCCTTTTTAGAAAGTGAACCATGGATGGGTAAATGTTGACAGTTTTCTCAAAAAAGGCTTGAATTCAAGAAGTTTTAGATTTGCGTGGTTTT